AACAAGTTTAAGAAGATGGTCAGGTGTTTTAGCAAAGATGTGTATAGGAGGAAAAGCTATTTTCACCCTTGATTAACAAGCTTTCATCTTATATTATCCAGACCTCACCTTAAATCTGCAATTACTGCTGGGTGAACAGGGGAGAGAAATTAATGATCGGTGCTCAGTCACTCAGTTGAGCCCCAGGGCTCAATCCAAGCTGATATGGCCAGCGAGACGTGGAGTCAAGCACGCAGCCACTGCGCTACAGAGGCTGTGTTTTGCATGTGTCATCTCTCTCAAGAATATCTTTGGCTTCTTTTACACCCTTCCTCCGTGTGTGCTCAAGATGTTATGGAGATGAGTAGTGGCGATACTCCTCTGTCAGGGGGGTTATCTTGAGGTTATCTTAGGGGTTATCATGAGGTTATCTTAGGGTTACCTTGAGGTTATCTTGGGGGTTATATTGAGGTTATCTTGAGGTTATCTTGAGGGTTATCTTAGGGTTATCTTGAGGTTATCTTGAGGTTATCTTGAGATGATCTCGGGGCTTAGCGTCCCCGCGGCCCGGTCATCGACCAGGCCTCCTTTCTGTTACACACATCCCCAGGAAGCAGCCCGAAGCAGCTGTCTAACTCCCAGCTACCTATTTACTGCTAGGTGAACAGACGCATCAGGGGTGAAAGAAACCCTGTCCCATTTGTTTCCCCCCTCCGCTTGGGATCGAACCCGGAACCTGAGGACTACGAATCCCGAAGCGTTGTCCACTGAGCCTGGTCGACCTGCCTGGTCGAGGACCGGGCCGCGGGGACGCTAAGCCCCGAAATTGTCATAGTCATTGTCCCAGTTCTTCCGCAGTTACTGCACCATTCCCCAGTTATGTTATCAGTTATTCTTATCTTGGAGAGCGTCGGGAGACTCCAGCGAGGAGGAGCAATAACTTGAAGGGTCATTAGGTCTGGTGAAGGAGGGGGTAGTTGACGCCTCGCCCCCCTACCCCCCCTCCTCCACCGGGCCATCAGAGATGGAGGGCCCCTATGGGCTGAGGGCCCCACGCAGCCCATATGTAAATGACCCGGGCGTCTTGGACCGTTTGGCAGGGTGCCGCGTGGCCCCCCCCCCCATGGGGGGAGGGGGGCGTGGGGGGCGTTGGGGGGCTGGAGGGGACTGTTAAGGAAGTGTGTGAGTGTGGCAGGGGGGGGGGGGAAGGGAACTATCAGGGGGGAAAGCCCTTACGACTATATAGCACTGGGAAGGGATCAGGATTTGGGATGGGACGGGGGGAAAGGAATGGTGCCCAACCACTTGTGGACGGTCTCGGGGGATTGAACGCCGACCTGCATGACGCGAGACCGTCGCTCTACCGTCCACCCCAAGTGGTTAGCCTGGGAGAGGAGAGGGGGTGGGATAGATGGGTAAAAAGAGACAACCAATTGTCTCTGAGTCTTCTCATTCTCGTATCCCGAAACGTTTCTGTAATTTGGAAGCAAGTTATCACATATAATACAATGGTAATGTTGTAGGACATCGCTACCCAAGGACAGGTTCGTCTCGGAACTGAGAGGAATGAGCTACGAGGAAAGGCTAAAGGAGCTGAACCTCACATCCCTGGAAAACAGAAGAGTAAGGGGAGACATGATAACCACCTAAAAAATTCTCAGGGGAATTGACAGGATTGACAAAGACAAACTCTTCAGCACGGGTGGGACACGAACAAGGAGACACAGGTGGAAACTGAGTACCCGCATGAGCCACAGAGACGTTAGAAAGAACTTTTTCAGTGTCAGAGTAGTTGACAAATGGAATGCATTAGGCAGTGATGTGGTGGAGGCTGACTCCATACACAGTTTCAAGTGTAGATATGATAGAGCCCAATAGGCTCAGGAACCTATACACCTGTTGATTGACAGTTGAGAGGCGGGACCAAAGAGCCAGAGCTCAACCCCCGCAAGCATAACTAGGTGGCCGGGCCGGGCTCCATAGAGCCTGGGGGAACAATTAGAATCCTAGAGGCCCTAACTACACCCCATCATCCGCTAAGTCCCCCAAAACTCCGGGGACCTAATTCAGAGCCTATAATCCCCTCAGAAACTACGAGAGACCAAAGCTCTTGGTCTCCGGTCTCCATTTAGCGGAAGATTTTAACCCCCCTAAGGGAGGGAGCCGGTCGGCCGAGCGGACAGCACGCTGGACTTGTGATCCTGTGGTCCTGGGTTCGATCCCAGGTGCTGGCGAGAAACAATGGGCAGAGTTTCTTTCACCCTATGCCCCTGTTACCTAGCAGTAAAATAGGTACCTGGGTGTTAGTCAGCTGTCACGGGCTGCTTCCTGGGGGTGGAGGCCTGGTCGAGGACCGGGCCGCAGGGACACTAAAGCCCCGAAATCATCTCAAGATAACCTCAAGATAGCAGGCAGGTGTGGATGAAAGCAGGAAGGATAGCAGGCAGGTGTGGATGAAAGCAGGAAGGATAGCAGGCACATATCGGTGTGTCGGTCGAGGTGGTGTCGACCCAACATATCGCTACATATCGGTGTGTCGGTCGAGGTGGTGTCGACCCAACATATCGGTGTGTCGGTCGAGGGGGTGTCGACCCAACATATCGGTGTGTCGGTCGAGGGGGTGTCGACCCAACATATCGGTGTGTCGGTCGAGGTGGTGTCGACCCAACATATCGTTGTGTCGGTCGAGGTGGTGTCGACCCAACATATCGCTGTGTCGGTCGAGGTGGTGTCGACCCAACATATCGGTGTGTCGGTCGAGGTGGTGTCGACCCAACATATCGGTGTGTCGGTCGAGGTGGTGTCGACCCAACATATCGGTGTGTCGGTCGAGGTGGTGTCGACCCAACATATCGGTGTGTCGGTCAAGGTGGTGTCGACCCAACATATCGGTGTGTCGGTCGAGGTGGTGTCGACCCAACATATCGGTGTGTCGGTCGAGGTGGTGTCGACCCAACATATCGGTGTGTCGGTCGAGGTGGTGTCGACCCAACATATCGGTGTGTCGGTCGAGTTGGTGTCGACCCAACATATCGGTGTGTCGGTCGAGGTGGTGTCGACCCAACATATCGTTGTGTCGGTCGAGGTGGTGTCGACCCAACATATCGTTGTGTCGGTCGAGGTGGTGTCGACCCAACATATCGCTGTGTCGGTCGAGGTGGTGTCGACCCAACATATCGGTGTGTCGGTCGAGGTGGTGTCGACCCAACATATCGGTGTGTCGGTCGAGGGGGTGTCGACCCAACATATCGGTGTGTCGGTCGAGGGGGTGTCGACCCAACATATCGGTGTGTCGGTCGAGGGGGTGTCGACCCAACATATCGGTGTGTCGGTCGAGGGGGTGTCGACCAGCCAGCACAGGTGTCGACCACAACACCACCAAAGGAGAAGTCGAGACGCTCCCAGTTATTTGACAGGAGGACAAATGTCTCCTTCGGTCAAATAACGTGAATCGTCAGTGTTGGCAGGATAGAGGGCGGCAGGATTGTCCAGAGCCCTGGGGGGATGGCTGAAGCAAATGGTGTGTACCTGTGTGTACCTGTGTGTGTACCTGTGTGTACCTGTGTGTACGGTGTGTGTACCTGTGTGTACCTGTGTGTATGGTGTGTGTACCCGTGTGTACGGTGTGTGTACCTGTGTGTACGGTGTGTGTACCTGTGTGTGTACCTGTGTGTACGGTGTGTGTACCTGTGTGTACCTGTGTGTATGGTGTGTGTACCTGTGTGTACGGTGTGTGTACCTGTGTGTACGGAGTGTGTACCTGTGTGTACGGTGTGTACCTGTGTGTACGGTGTGTGTACCTATGTGTATGGTGTGTGTACCTGTGTGTACCTGTGTGTACCTGTGTGTACGGTGTGTGTACCTGTGTGTACGGTGTGTGTACGGGTGTGTACGGTGTGTGTACCTGTGTGTACGGTGTGTGTACCTGTGTGTACGGTGTGTGTACCTGTGTGTACGGTGTGTGTACCTGTGTGTACGGTGTGTGTACCTGTGTGTATGGTGTGTGTACCTGTGTGTACCTGTGTGTACCTGTGTGTACGGTGTGTGTACCTGTGTGTATGGTGTGTGTACCTGTGTGTACGGTGTGTGTACCTGTGTGTACGGTGTGTGTACCTGTGTGTACGGTGTGTGTACCTGTGTGTATGGTGTGTGTACCTGTGTGTATGGTGTGTGTACCTGTGTGTACCTGTGTGTATGGTGTGTGTACCTGTGTGTATGGTGTGTGTACCTGTGTGTACCTGTGTGTACCTGTGTGTACGGTGTGTGTACCTGTGTGTATGGTGTGTGTACCTGTGTGTACGGTGTGTGTACCTGTGTGTACGGTGTGTGTACCTGTGTGTACCTGTGTGTATGGTGTGTGTACCTGTGTGTACGGTGTGTGTACCTGTGTGTACGGTGTGTGTACCTGTGTGTACCTGTGTGTACCTGTGTGTACGGTGTGTGTACCTGTGTGTACGGTGTGTGTACCTGTGTGTACCTGTGTGTACGGTGTGTGTACCTGTGTGTATGGTGTGAGTACCTGTGTGTACGGTGTGTGTACCTGTGTGTATGGTGTGTGTACCTGTGTGTACGGTGTGTGTACCTGTGTGTACGGTGTGTGTACCTGTGTGTACGGTGTGTGTACCTGTGTGTACGGTGTGTGTACCTGTGTGTACGGTGTGTGTACCTGTGTGTACCTGTGTGTACGGAGTGTGTACCTGTGTGTACGGTGTGTGTACCTGTGTGTACGGTGTGTGTACCTGTTTGTACGGTGTGTGTACCTGTGTGTACCTGTGTGTACGGTGTGTGTACCTGTGTGTACGGTGTGTGTACCTGTGTGTACGGTGTGTGTACCTGTGTGTACCTGTGTGTACCTGTGTGTACCTGTGTGTACGGTGTGTGTACCTGTGTGTACGGTGTGTGTACCTGTGTGTACCTGTGTGTACCTGTGTGTACGGTGTGTGTACCTGTGTGTACGGTGTGTGTACCTGTGTGTACCTGTGTGTTCCTGTGTGTACGGTGTGTGTACGGTGTGTGTACCTGTGTGTACCTGTGTGTTCCTGTGTGTACGGTGGGTGTACCTGTGTGTACGGTGTGTGTACCTGTGTGTACGGTGTGTGTACCTGTGTGTACGGTGTGTGTACCTGTGTGTACGGTGTGTGTACCTGTGTGTACGGTGTGTGTACCTGTGTGTACGGTATGTGTACCTGTGTGTACCTGTGTGTACGGAGTGTGTACCTGTGTGTACGGTGTGTGTACCTGTGTGTACGGTGTGTGTACCTGTGTGTACCTGTGTGTACGGTGTGTGTACGGGTGTTTACGGTGTGTGTACCTGTGTGTACGGTGTGTGTACCTGTGTGTACGGTGTGTGTACCTGTGTGTACGGTGTGTGTACCTGTGTGTACGGTGTGTGTACCTGTGTGTACGGTGTGTGTACCTGTGTGTACGGTGTGTGTACCTGTGTGTACCTGTGTGTACGGTGTGTGTACGGGTGTGTACGGTGTGTGTACCTGTGTGTACCTGTGTGTACCTGTGTGTACGGTGTGTGTACCTGTGTGTACGGTGTGTGTACCTGTGTGTACGGTGTGTGTACCTGTGTGTACCTGTGTGTACCTGTGTGTACGGTGTGTGTACCTGTGTGAACGGTGTGTGTACCTGTGTGTACGGTGTGTGTACCTGTGTGTACCTGTGTGTAGGTGTGTGTACGGGTGTGTACGGTGTGTGTACCTGTGTGTACGGAGTGTGTACCTGTGTGTACCTGTGTGTAGGTGTGTGTACCTGTGTGTACGGTGTGTGTACCTGTGTGAAAGGTGTGTGTACCTGTGTGTACCTGTGTGTAGGTGTGTGTACGGGTGTGTACGGTGTGTGTACCTGTGTGTACGGAGTGTGTACCTGTGTGTACCTGTGTGTAGGTGTGTGTACCTGTGTGTACGGTGTGTGTACCTGTGTGAACGGTGTGTGTACCTGTGTGTACCTGTGTGTACGGTGTGTGTACGGTGTGTGTACCTGTGTGTACGGTGTGTGTACGGGTGTGTACGGTGTGTGTACCTGTGTGTACGGTGTGTGTACGGGTGTGTACGGTGTGTGTACCTGTGTGTACGGTGTGTGTACCTGTGTGTACGGTGTGTGTACCTGTGTGTACGGTGTGTGTACCTGTGTGTACCTGTGTGTACGGTGTGTGTACCTGTGTGTACCTGTGTGTACGGTGTGTGTACCTGTGTGTACGGTGTGTGTACCTGTGTGTACGGTGTGTGTACCTGTGTGTACCTGTGTGTACGGTGTGTGTACCTGTGTGTACGGTGTGTGTACCTGTGTGTACGGTGTGTGTACCTGTGTGTACGGTGTGTGTACCTGTGTGTACCTGTGTGTACGGTGTGTGTACCTGTGTGTACGGTGTGTGTACCTGTGTGTACGGTGCGTGTACCTGTGTGTACGGTGTGTGTACCTGAATGTACGGTGTGTGTACCTGTGTGTACGGTGTGTGTACCTGTGTGTACCTGTGTGTACGGTGTGTGTACCTGTGTGTACGGTGTGTGTACCTGTGTGTACCTGTGTGTACGGTGTGTGTACCTGTGTGTACGGTGTGTGTACCTGTGTGTATGGTGTGTGTACCTGTGTGTACCTGTGTGTACGGTGTGTGTACCTGTGTGTACGGTGTGTGTACCTGTGTGTACGGTGTGTGTACCTGTGTGTATTGTGTGTGTACCTGTGTGTACGGAGTGTGTACCTGTGTGTATGGTGTGTGTACCTGTGTGTACGGTGTGTGTACCTGTGTGTACGGTGTGTGTACCTGTATGTACGGAGTGTGTACCTGTGTGTACGTGGGATGTGTACCTGTGTGTGTACGGTGTGTACCTGTGTGTACGTGGGATGCAAAGGTGTGTGTGTGTGTGTGTGTGTGTACTCTCCTAGTTGTGCTTGCGGGGGTTGAGCTTTGGCTCTTTGGTCCCGCCTCTCAACCGTCAATCAACAGGTTTACAGGTTCCTGAGCCTATTGGGCTCTATCATATCTACACTTGAAACTGTGTATGGAGTCAGCCTCCACCACATCACTGCCTAATGCATTCCATTTGTCAACCACTCTGACACTGAAAAAGTTCCTTCTAACGTCTCTGTGGCTCATGTGGGTACTCAGTTTCCACCTGTGTCCCCCTTGTTCATGTCCCACCAGTGTTGAATAGTTTATCCTTGTCTACCCGGTCGATTCCACTGAGGATTTTGTAGGTTGTGATCATGTCTCCCCTTACTCTTCTGTCTTCCAGTGTGTGTGAGCCAACAAAGCTGCCCCAGGTCGACACCACGAACACAGACCGATAAGACCAATAATGATCAGTCCACGATAACAACGACTCGAGTTATCCCGTAGCGAAGACTAAAGAATAAAGTATAACTGGAGGAAACAGTGATAAAAAAGGCAGTAAAATGGAAATAGAGGAATAACACGGTGCTAAAGCAAAGGAATAAAACTTTATGGAGGGTCTCTCAACCTTCCCTCCATTGATCTTTACTACAAGTTCCATTGCGTTCACTTTTATGAGAGAG